AGTATTGAAACCTGTTTTTTGATGACATTCATTTAGGGCCAAGGGAAGAAATTCATGGTACAGGAAAGGGTTTAATCATGGGAGCAAGGTCCTTGGGAGGGCAAGAGTGTATGGCAACAACTGCACAGAGGGAACTGTTGTGAGGCTGATTGCTCATCCTCTGCAACAGCAGGCAAAAGGCATTAACTATGGAGATGTGTATTTTGGTCATTGTTGATGGCTCACTTGAGATATGTGGTTACAAGAATGAGTCCAGTCTGTGGAGCTGCCTTTCTTTGGTAACACTTTATAGCTTGACTACACTTAAGCTATATGCAATGGGCAGTGGAAGAGATTGGGACTTAACCCTGGTGGGGGGTCTGTCAGGTAAGTAAAAGGGCACATGCATGAAATTCTGCACCTTTCATAGGGTCCATGAACACATTATGGTAGATGAACTTAATGCAACAGAAGTTTCAAGAAACACTGTAATACAGACCAGCATGGAGCAGGGAAACAGATTTTTTTAAATGCTTTTCAGAATTTGATATGTATACCTAACTTGAACACAATAGTGGAAGCTTTGCTAAAAAGATTGGTAGGGGCTTTCTCATCTCCTTGTACTAGTCATTTCTTCTTGGCCTTTAACAGCATCTACCTCTGATTTTTGTTGTTAGAAGGCATATCAGAATCTCTCAGGAATGCAAGTGCAGCGTTCTTTTTTCTTTATTTAAGTTTATGAAATACATGCTTATAGAAAATTAAAACATAGAAATATGTAAAGCCAGTCGTGAAAGTTCTTCCATAATTCTGCTTCCTAACAAAGCCACCGTTAGTAATGTGGTGTTATATTTTGGAGCATCAAGTTGTTCACAAAAAATGCTTGCACAACTTTTTTTAACTAAAGAGTAAAGTTTGGAAATTTTGCCCTAATAATCCAGACATTCCTCACTCACTTAATGAATACTTAGAAACAAATTGCATAAAGGTACCATCTATTAAACCATCCCTATTGACAGGACATTTGGGTTTTAAGCATTAAAGAACAAAGGTGCAATGAATTTGCTTGTGTACACTTGTCAGATTATTCCCATTAGGCAGTTTCCTAGAAATGAACTTAGTAGGCCAAAAGGTTCAAACAGTTTCAATAAACCCCAGAAAACTACATTCCTAAAGGTTGTGCCAATTATACTCCCACCTATAGCATGCAAGATGGGTAATGTAATTGGAAATGCTTATTCAACATCATAGTGCAATTTTTTAATTTGGAAAATTATAAAAACTGACTGTTCTTATAACTGTGTTTTCTCATTATAGAAGGTGAAGTCTGACAAATCTTCTTGACTAAAGGGGAATCAGGATCCCAGGGCAAGATTTATAAAACTTGTATTTATCAAAAAGAGGCACCAGTATTAGAAACTTTAAAACTTCTCTTTAAAATCTCTACAAGATGGCAGCCCTTGCTACAGTTTTAAACAGCTGCACTGGTATCTCCAGTTATTTTCCCGAAGTTTCAATGGCAGTATTGGTATCCTACTAGTTGTGGAATAAAATCCAAATTTATATGAGCTTTCCTCACAACAAGCCAGCTTTACTCTCCATTATTCAACAGTAGCAGAAAATTCTTTGTCCCAGGACACACTGCACACTTTCTTCTGCCTGGTTTCATCGCTTCATGCCTTATCTCTTTTCCTTCTTTGTCCTCCTTCACCTCAAAGTCATCTCCAATGCCACTTACTCTATGAAGTCTTCCACAATCCTTCCTGAGAAAAATAAATGATCTTATCCCCACTTCTGTTCCCCCAGCATTTCACCTGCACCTCCATTACAGAATTTCTATACTAAGCTACCAAACTGGAAGTCTTAGAGGATAGACACATCTTACTTGTCTATTTCCTGAACAGTATCTAGTGCAGAACTTTGTAGAACATACACTCAAAAACGGTTTTTGGAATAAACATATATGTTAAGACTTCAAGTCTTTTAATCTCAAATTATTAGTCACAGATATTAATTTTTAAAGGATTAAAAAAAAAAACTTACTGCTCCCTCAAATGTCCTATTATAATAATCGGTTTCATACATTTTTTTAAAAAAGGGGGTTGTTCTAATAAGACTGTCAAAATATTACATCTAGAATAGTTACAGTCAATAAACCTGCATTTACTTGATATCTGCATCTTCCTAGTATCACAAATTGTTTTAGAAATAAAAACACAAGGGTAGGGGACAGGGGACAGTTTATTGTAAAATATGAAGCAGCAATGATTGAAGCAAGTGAATTTCTCCTTTATATTCCCAGCCAGAGCACAAAATGACTGGGTATCCTCATCAACGCCAAGCTTTTTTTTTTTTAAAAAAAAAAAAAAAAAAGAAAATTCCACATTCATTAAAATCTCTTTCTCTTGATAATTTCTGGTTTCCAGCTGACTGGATGAGTTTCTTCTGTCTAAAAGTAGAAAAGCAAGTTAAAATAAAGTATTATTAGTTTGCTTCATGTCTAACAGGCTTCCTTTCTAACAGAAATAAGGTATCTCCTCTAACATTATTCATTGGCATTATATACTTAGTAGTTCTTTGACAATTTTAGGAAGAGTTGATAAACTTCTGGCATTATCTAAGTCTAATAACAGATGGATGGATTCATTATGTTTAGTTTGCAGTTTTTCATCTAAAATAACATTTCTATTTGGATCTACTAATACCAAAGCTTATGATTCTCAAATTAATTTGCATAGCAATCTATTTATTTGCTGTTATTCTTGGTGCAAGATTTCCCAGCAACTATAACAAAGAAAGCTGGGATAAAATTAAAACCATCCACGAATTCACTGGCATCAGTGAAATCATATAGAAATCTATAAATAGATACTATTCAAGAAAACAAATATCTTAAATACTATAAAGATTATTTTTCCTTCTGATAAAATTAAATGAGAACACAGTGCCAAATTGGTACAGCCGCTTTACTTAACAAATGTGAAACAGAGAACTTACGGCTGTGTCATCCTCTCTGTATACTTTAATGGTTTTATCAGCTTCAGCTGTTAGTAATCGACTTTCAGACTGATCAAAAGCACAAGCAAATATTCCTGATTCACTGTCCAAAGACCCAGGTTGCACAGCTGCATGAACTCTCTGAAAATTGTAGCCAGTTCTCCAGTCCCAAAGATGCATGGTGCCATTGTCAGCTTAAAGGGAAAAATCTAGTTACACCTGGTATCCCTTCAGCAGTACAGCTTGATAAACATTTATTAAGCATCATTAGCCCAAGCATGGCAATACTTCGGTTATAAAAATACATAAGACACAGGCACTCAATCTTCTCCTAATATTGGCTTTTCTACTTTCATTTGTGCTGGGTTCAGAATTTATAGATCTTAAAAAGCACCTCAAAATCTAACATCCAATTCCAGAATAATAAACACAATTTTAGGCAATTCCCAGCATAAATCCCTGAGATTCATCAGATTGGAACTCAAAAGGACTAAACTATGAAATATACTACATGTATTATGAATATGCATGCACACACATAGTAACATGCAAATGTCCCCTAATCAGGCAAGTGCTGCTATAATACTTAAGTGTGACAGCTTAGAAGCATTACAAATGTTTATTCATCATTAAAAGTAACAGATAAACATATTTATTATAAAAATCTTATTTTACCTCCAGATACAAGTACTCCATCAGAATTTACTGTCAATGTGTTAATAATAGCATTATGACCGGAAAGATTTTGAATGAAACTTCCATCAGGGAATTTCCACTGCTTTATGTTATCTGGAGAACCAGATGCAAATGTGTAACTGAAATAATATTAAAAAGAATTAACGACAAAGGAAACCAAGTTAAATAAAATGGTGGGTTTTAAAAAGCTTATTTCAGTTATATTTTGTGTTGTGTACTCAATGATTTATATATTCAGCAAAATAGTCATATCAAAATGTAAAAATATTAAGACATTTGTTCAAAGTTAAATCAGATCTTCACATTTTTAACAGGATATTTTAAGTCCTAAAGTTTTATTCTTTCATTTCCTTTAAGTTTTTTCTTTCATTTCCTTAATGCTCTGCACTAAGCTAGAGCAATAAATGTGTAGAAGCCCTACTTCACAAGAAGGGCAATGTGTTATGCAACTCTTTTGGAGGGAGGGAGAGCAAGACAGGAACAGGAAGAAAGGGAGAAAAGAAATAGAGGGCAAGAGGAAGAGAGAGAATGGGAGTGAGGAGAGATGAGAGTGAGAAAGACAAGCAAAGGAAGGAAGAAGAGAGGCGGAAAAGGGTATGGAGGGTAGAAGACAGAGAGGAGGAAAGGGAGAAGAGAAAGAATATGAATATAACCAGAAAAGTGTCAGAGTGATCTAATACAACAAACAATAGTTGTGATATTATGCTCCACCTTTTTGGATACTCTGACTATAATGTTCACGGTTCTTATTATTTCTCTTTCTACATATATTAACTTCCTCCTTAAGAATTAAACTATTCAATGAATGTCTCAGTGTCCAATATCATTCATGTCCAAAACATTAAGCCCAGCCACTAATATCTTTTATTCTGACATGCAGCATTTAATCATGATTTATTTACATTGTCTCATATTTATTTGTTATGAAGTAGAAGGCTTTCCTCATGTTTTACAGGGCATGAAGCAAATTAGTGCATAAGGAAAATGAAAGAAACACACATTCCTATGTGGCACAGGCCTGGAAATGATAGCAGCTAAATGACTGCCAAAGGCAGTGCTGACACCACTAGCATTTCAGCATTATACTAAGAACTGAAGAAAAACAAGAAGCTAATTAGGAAAATACACTTACTGTCTTGGATGTAAAACCACAGCCCTAACTGATTTTTTGTGATTTGTTAACGTCACTCTTGTTTTTCCAGCCACCAGATCCCATAATCGAATTGTAGTATCATGGCTTCCTGTAATGGAAACAAATATATCCCTCAAAACACAGACCAGGAAAAATAATGCAAAAGTTAAATAAAATACAAAGCATTCTTCCAAAACACATATGTTCTAAATGAAAGCCTTATCACTTGCAAATCAGTCTTGGTTAATTTCTTCATAGTTCCAAATTTTTAGGTGGATTTTAATTCTTTAAAAAAATGCAATACAACAACTGATTCACTGTCAACTGAACAGCTAAAACACATGCAAATAACAAATAAAACAAATATATGATTGTATACTCTAGTGAAAAGGAAAAAACTTCAATGATTTTTTTTTAAGTTAATAAAATACATCAGGCAAAGGAATTATTTTCTAGTATTAAAGTTCCATTGTTACTAACTTTATTTAGAGCAAAGTAAGATTCAAATCAGTTCTAAAGGTTACTAGTCTCAAGGTATTTTGTCTTCTAACTTCAATTTCCTAAAAAAATAATTTTGACACTATAAAATAATACTTAATTGTCTGTATCACAGTATTCTAGTCAGACATTACAGGTTACTATGTATGGCATACTCTATGATATGTAAAAACCACGAGATAA